GGTCAGATATTGTGAGAAAGCCAGGGTCATGTCCTTTCCCAAGTACACTGTGTCTGATATAACAGACAAAATACTCTAACTATAGATCAGCTGAATATTGAAACTCTATTTCTTCATGTCAGAGCTAATGATCTGGCAAAACAACAACCGAATATTCTGAAAAAAGACTACCATTCTTCTGAACCTCTATTGGAAAACTAAAATTGAAGATTTTTATTAGTGGCCCTGTCCCAGTAGCAGGATGGGGTGATCTGAAATACTTTTGACAATACGGTTAAGTATTCTTTAACTGATTGCAGGGTTTTTAATTGTCCTTTTGACAGAATTGCTGCCTGCAAGTAATTTGCATGTTTTTTTGTCTGAATTAAATTAATTTTTTGCCAGATCATTTTTCCATTTTGTCAGATCACATAGAAGCATTTTTACGACAAGCAAGAAATTACCAGCCAATCCAGGTGATCAAAAGTGATCGGCCCTCATGGGTTTTTTGGAATCAGAATTGGCAGCAAAAAGCCCAATCAGAGCATACCTAAAATATTATTACAATAATGGATTTCATGGTAGATTCTTTCAACCTTTTCAAGAACATTGTTGACTGAAAAGAAAGACATAAATTTTGATTAACATTTTAATACCAGATTTTCCTCCCTGTCTCCTCAGACTGAGTGGCTGTAACCTCTCAGAGAGAAGCTGTGAAGCTCTGTCCTCAGTTCTCAGCTCCCAGTCCTCCAGTCTCAGAGAACTGGACCTGAGTAACAACAACCTGCAGGATTCAGGAGTGAAGCTTCTCTCTGCTGGACTGAAGAGTCCAAACTGCAACCTGGAGACTCTCAGGTAAAATGTGACCAATCCTGGTGAAACATTACTTGCTTTCAGGTAATAATTAGTATTTCAGTAGCTGTGACATATCTAACTATGCTAAGTCTCAACACATAAACATGACTAGTTTTCATTTACCCGAGGCTGAAAGAACCAAGAAAGGTATTTAGAACAGCAGAAAGAAGTTTTGCAGCACCAAAGTACTTGTTCTGGTTCTTTGTACTTTTGAGCAGTACTCCCCACCCCGGGCTGCAGACCGGTACGGGTCTGTGGACCAGTTGGTACCAGTCCGCACAAGACATAATTAAGTATTTCCGTTTAATGTATTGTCTGAGTCTTGAGGATCTTTTATTTTGAAAATACTTTAACCAGATTCTCTCAGTTACGTCTTATGCACCAACATTGAGCCCACAAGCAGTAAAATGAGTAAGAAACAGATTAGATGTCTTTGGAAAGTTTATTTGGGATGGGGAAAAGACCCAGCAAAGAGACAGGAGAATGAATTCATCCTGGCAGGTTATTCCCACCTTGCAAGCCCCCTCTGCATGATATGCGGTGACCGGCTCACTAATGAGGGAATGAAGCCTTCAAACTACTTCCCCACTCAGAGACCAAGCACCCTGAGCTCAAGCAGCACTTCAAGTGTCATTGTCTCTCATCATTCCCAGATGGGACCGTCTCGTTGCAGAGAAACAAGCTCAGGGCTCCCATTGATTTGTTGTTATCATGAGATCAAATGTTCATGAAAGTAAAATGTTTTTTTTTTTTGTGGCGCATTTGTATTTTATTTTGAAGGACTATGTAAACATTACCATAGTGACCAGAGTCAGCGTTAGGACAGTGGTCAAGACAAGACGAGAGGAGCTTGTGAGTCTTAAGTCTGGTTCACACGGCACGATTTAAGAACTGCCGTCCGATTTCCAAACCTCTGTGACCACACAGGAGCTGATAATAGTACAACAGGTTTGATCAGTTTGTGTGATCAGGCACATGGCACGAACCGATTTCACTCATGAACATCCCGATTCCTGAAGAAAATACAGTAAACCTCCCAACATACCCTATGTCAATTTAGAGTAACAAACATATCCGATGATGTAGAAGCAGTTGTGATGGTTTGTGAATTCATGTTAAGCGATAAAAGACACAGCAAAATGAAAAAAAAACTTTGGATAAAAGACTGCGGGAGCAGCCACTCCTTTTGCACCACTATGCATTAAACCGGACTCTCAGTTGTGCCATGTCAGCTGTTTGGGATTCCCCTCCGTCCTTAGATCACCGCACTTTCTGATTGGGTAACGGTCACATTCAACAGGCTGTGTTCTCGTTCCTAGTCAGGGAAAAGCCCACAGGCTGTGGTAAAAGAGCCAACATAACACAACATATTGAATGTGCCTGATTTTAGATCGGAAAAGTCCAGACGTTCTACATAACACACCACTCACAGCAGGTCGAAACATTCTAAGATTGTCAGGAAAATCGGGGCAAAAAATGTAAAATTGTGTCATGTGACACTCTCCCTCCCTCGCCGCAGTAAAATTACCAAGCCTTGACCAGTCCGAGGTAATGAAAAGGTTGGGGACCACTGCTTTTGAGGATAATAGTTGAATCTGGTTAACAGGGAGAATCTGGAGATGAAAGATGGTCTGACAATGAAACTGGTGGGGTGAAGTCAGAGGGATTGATGCTGATGACTGTTAATTCATCTTCAACCAAACTGATCTCAAAATGTAGAAAAAAAGGAAATAAAATTAGTAAAGCATAGTACAAAATGCATATGAGAAGGCACAGCAATTGGAACTAGAAAGTGTGCATTCCTATGAAAATGCAAGTGTGAATGCTCAATGCTTTTGGTGAAAATGACAATAGCGTTTGAAGCCAAATGCTGAAGATTTGCAGACAAGTAAGAAATAGTCCACACAGTGTGAAAAATCCAGGAAAAAGACAAAATTAGGTGAACTACTCATGATAGCATCTAGGAAACCAGTAGTATGCTGGGTTACAGTAATTTATTCCATGAAATATAAAAATCATAAATGAAATAAAAACTCATGTAAACCCTAAAATTTGAAAAGGACAGAAACGTTCCCCTATTCCTTCTGATAAAAACAGTGGGTGAATAACATCCAAACCTTTTATGTTTCCTGAGATATCAACATTTGTTTGGAGGCATCGTTTAGCACGGTGACTACAAAAAACATGCCACATGCAGCATGTTCTTCATGCTTTTTTAGCAATGCCAAGCGCTCAAATTATTCCCAGGTGTTAAATAGTATAAAAGCTGTTTAACTTCCCAACTTCAAATTGGCCACTGCCTTGTTTCCTCCATGACAGCACCTGAAACTGGATGACTGATCGCCATTAATAGGCAGGACCTGAAACATCCACTGTGAAACACAACGGACATTCTATATTGTAATTCTTAATTCTGCCACAGGATGGAGCGGTTTCCCCCATGGGTGAAAATTAATAAAAAGCTGAATATTATAAAAAGTATGAAGGTTATGAATACTATTAAGGAAGATTATCTAAATGAGTTAATTTTGGAAAAAGTTGGCTCTCTCTTCCTCTGGATCCCAGGTCCTCCCGGCGGGCCACGTGTAGCCATAAGGAAAACGATGCGTGTTGACGTCACAGAATTACAGTTTAATCCAAATATAAGACAATGCATAAAATTACAACAGAAACTGCAGAACAACGGAGACATACATTCATTTAGCTGACAGACTTGGAAAAAGAAGGAAAGAAAGAAAAGCCAAGACGTCTTTAGAGAGTTGCAAGAGCAAATCTGATTTGTTACTCTATGTGGAAAGTTTTATCTTCTTATCTTTAATTTATTCAAATAAGGTGTATCTTTGCTCATCCAACCAGGAGCTATCTCTGCCCTTCTCTCAAGCCAGAAACCCCCGCCGTGTTTACGGCCTTTCACAGATGAGTGTGAAAAGCTACAACTTCCACTGTATTGTTCTCCCACAGACAAAAGGCAGTTCAAACGATCCTAGCAAACCATCTGCTGTAACTACAGGTAACATAAAGGTCAATAGGCCAGAATAAGTTACTAATTTTAAAACCACAATTAGGGTATTTGAATCAAGACATGTTAAGTTTTAAAACTAGCTTATTTTAAATTTATTTTCTTAATACCAAGAGATATAGCCGGCAAGCTGAATAGTATTAAAGTTGAACAGTGAAAGTAGCACAAAGTATGACGGAGAAGAAGCGCGGCAAAATTTACAGGAAACCAGAAAAGTGGTTTCAACAAAACGTACTCCAAAAACTGTCTTAAGAACATAGAGAATAATTAATGCCAAAACAAATACATAACCCCATTCTTTTCTTTCCCTGCACTGTGAACACAAACCTCTGAAGGTTAAGGCTAATGTTAACGTATAACACAATTAACACGGAGCTACTGGCATTTGCTCCATTGGTTTTTTGTTGGAGATAGTTTTCAGACTTTAAGTAGCAGCATATTTGTATTCCAATATTTCACAATGTGAAAATTCTTTTAGGTGTATTTAAGTTAACCAAATATTTGCCTGAATGTTCACATGCTCTCTTTTTTAAAATATTATTGTTACACGTGGTAAACTAAATATGGGCTAGCTGGTGAACATGACATCTATCACACAGGTTGATCTCAACTCAAAATAATTCAATAAACCATCTCAGATAAAAAACCCTACCCTAAACTAAGCATGTTAAACAACCCAGACCTGTATGGAAAGTAAATTGTTGTGAAAGGCCTTGGAATCCCTCACTTCACTTTGGTGGGAACTTTATATTCTGGGGGCCGAGTCCACAGAATATACTCTCTTGTAGCCACTGTAAAAGCTGTGAGTCAAGAAGTAGTCATTTATTCCATTTTAAAACCTGCAGATATGACACGAAAACACCTTGTTTTTACACTTGATATTAACTAAGATTGTACACCCCAGTTACAAAACATAGAATGTGACTCTATTAGTGTAAATTTAACTCTGCTTTTGCACAAAGTATATTAACACCAAACATTTTAACACTGTTGTAATTGATATGACGGTGCACAAAGGACCATTATTGTAGAACCTTCCTCAAAACCTTTTTATTCTACAAGTGACAAATGTTGATTTTTATCATCTAAAAAAGGAAATAAAGTTTTCTTACTATTTCATGATACTAACAGGTTAAGCTCCAGTTTTTTGTGCGTTTTCCTCTCCTATAAATGTCCAGTTCAGACCTTGGGCTCTACCTCAATGTTCTCATCATGTGATGAATTGTGTGTCTGCAGCTTATCAGGCTGTTTGGTCTCAGAGGAAGGCTGTGCTTCTCTGGCCTCAGCTCTGACCTTTAACCCCTCCCATCTGAAAGAGTTGGACCTGAGCTACAATCATCCAGGAGACTCAGGAGTGAAGCTGCTGTCGGCTGGACTGAAGGATCCAGACTGGAGACTGGAAGCTCTCAGGTATGGAGGAACCTGCTGCAGGAGCAGAGAAGGTCTGATAGAGGAGGAAGAGGAGAAACGTCTTTAGTCTGATGGGAAACATTTAGTTTGAAGAGAAATATTTAGTTATTTAGCATTTTTACATACCATACCAACTATGTAACGAAAAGCAAAATCAGGCAGAACCCAAAACGCAGCCAACATCAAAGTTGGTTCACTAAATGTCTTTATTACAAAAATAAAGGTAAGAAGGGGCTAAGCAGGGAGTGGTCACGCTGGTGGGTCAGGAAGGGGGAAGTCCACAGGGGTCTGGGATCCAGCCAGGGAGGGGTAAGGTGGATGGGCAAAGGGAGGACTTGAGGGCTCAGATAAACAGATAACGGTGACAAAATCCACCAACCAGAGGATGAGTCATGGGACAATCCAGGGTCATTCACGGGAGGGCCACAGGCAATGAAGATCCAGAAATCAGAAAAACTTGAGGCAAGGTCAGAGTCAGGCAGGGTTCATCAACAGTAGGTCAGAAATCCTCCAGCAGCCGAAGGACAAGGCAAAATCTGTGGTCAAAAACAGGCAGGATCAGAAAATCAGAAAACTTTGAAACATGAGACAAGGCTTGAAAGCTGTGACTGGGGCAACAAACGATCTCGCACTCAGCTGGTGAAACAGAGGGGTCAGAGTCAGGAGCTGTGATAAGAGCCCTGGTACTACCAACCTTTTCAAGAAAGAAACGCAGAAAATTATCACACACATCAGGAGAAGCTTCCAAACGGGCATTCTGTGGGATATTAAGCACGAAGTCAATGGTGTTAAATAAAACACGTGGGTTATGACTGTTTGAGAAAATGATATTTTCCAGGTTAGTCACAGGCAGACCGCAGGAAATGACCAGGTCCAGTGTGTGTCCGTGCTCATGTGTAGGGCCGGATACGGCCTGTACCAGGTTAAGAGTCCAGAAGGCTTAAAAAGTCCTTTACCAGAGGCTTATTAGGACAGCATACATGTATATTGAAGTCTCCAACAATAAGAACATGACTCCAACATGAATAAATAACATGGTGAAAATATGACTTGACCTTCTGAAACTCCTTTTATCTCTTATGTCAGACTAAATAACTCAAATTATTGCTGTCAATTTTGACTGTATAACTTTGTAAACTGCATATTAGTCTTTCACATGGTGATGAATAAACCTGGGGGAAAAATATCTACTGGTACCATCATAAGTAATGTCAGAAAACATCTGAACATTTTTTTCAGTAACAACTAAACTGAAGCGTTGCTATTTCAAATCCAGTAGTCAGACTACAGTTATCAAAATCACTTTGCGTTATTGTGCATTAGTATGTTCTTTTGGAATTTAATTGTATGTATTGTATTTCCTCTATTTAATTGTATTTCCTCTCCTTGACGATTGACCAATGTTTCTATGTGACAATATCAGCAGCGAAATGGAAGGACTGTAAACAATGGAGAGGACGAGGGAGATGCGCATTTTGTTCAGGGAAAAATAGAAACTATTTTGAGTTTCTGTTGCCAAGTCCCATTACTAAAAGTGGCTTTCGGCATATTTTTTCACCTGCAAATTTATTAAGTCGTAGGTTGCGCCTTTTGGGGCTTGTTTTTAGATGTGAAGTTCCTCATTTGGGCTTGTAAATAAGCAGAGTCATAATAAATCCCAGAATTTGTCCGTCATTATGGTAGTTTTAGTCAGACTCTCCCTGTCCATCATTTGCAGGATGATCCGTCCCGCTGTGTCTTTGTTAATGTCAATTTAATATATTACTTCCGAATAACATCGAGTGATCAAGAAAATTGCAAACATCGAGACTAATATGAACAGAGCAATAAACGTGGAATCAGCCACAGATGTTGGACTGTTCCTGTCTCAGTGGAGGACAATGTGTGTCTGAGAGACATGTAATGTCCATGTTTGCTGCTGAAAGAGACTGATGGTCTGACCCCCCTCCTCCTTTCAGGGTGGAGCCTGCTGGAGGCCGATTCTTGACACCAGGTCTGAGGAAGTGTAAGTGTGTTTTTCATCTGATTCATGACAACAAAGCAGCTCACATTCAACCATCTTCAAACTGTCACATCACTCATTCAGGATCATCATCAAAGATCAATAAATGATCAATAACTGCAGCTGGATTGTGTTTGTTCTCTCCATCAGATTCCTGTCAACTCACCATCGACACAAACACAGTGAGCAGAAAACTCAAACTGTCTGAAGACAACAGGAAGGTGACATTAGTGGAGGAGCTTCAGTCATATCCTGATCATCCAGACAGATTTGATCTTCCTCAATTGCTGTGTAGAACTGGTCTGACTGGTCGCTGTTACTGGGAGGTCGAGTGGAAAGGAAGAGTTGATATATCAGTGAGTTACAGAAGAATCGGGAGGAAAGGAAAGAGTAGTGACTGTAGGTTTGGAGGGAATGATCATTCCTGGAGTCTGAGATGCTCTGATCGTAAAGGTTTCTCTGTCTGTCACAATAACATAGAAACTCGTCTCCCCTCCTCCTCCTCCGTCTCTAACAGAGTATCAGTGTATGTGGACTGTCCTGCTGGCATTCTGTCCTTCTACAGAGTCTCCTCTGACTCACTGATCCTCCTCCACACCTTCAACACCACATTCACTGAACCTCTGATTCCTGGATTCTGGTTCTGTTGGTCTAATTCTGATTCCTCAGTGTTTCTCTGCTGAGTTGAGTCTAAAGACTCTTTTCTGGTCACTCTTGCTCTTGTTGAAGGCGGATGCTTTTTTTCCTCTGCTGCCTCCCTGCCCTTGCCTGCCCTGCTTGCTCTGTTTTTTGTCTTTTTCTATATTTTTGGAGCCTTTCTTTGTACATTCTCCGAATCTACAAATTATGGATCTGGTCAACCGATCTCTCAATGCAGTTGATCAAATTTTCGACGAAGACTGGGCGTCTTGTCCTGCGGGGACACACTTGGCGGGATTCACCCTGGATTTATTCATGATAATAGGATTTCTGCTGTTTGGAGCTTGCAGATACATGGCTTATTGATAAATTTGTGATGGACATGGCTGAACTAGTGAACACTCAGATGTGGACATCTGATGTGGACAGAGATGCAAGTTGGATGTGATCTTGGAAAAGTTGCTAGTTTCAGTTCAGTGAAACAACGAAACTAATTTTGATAACTGGGAATTGAGATGTATCGGAGAGACTTTATGGAAGATTGAAATTTATAATGTTCCTGACCTAAGACATTCTGTCTGATTTGACTTTCCCTGTGTTGCCTTGGAAGGGCTGCATATCTCTAATCTCCTTGAATATATGTAAACGTAACGCTCCTTCCCACATCACCACTTCCTGTTATCCATGCAACTGTGGACCTGGGATCTCCCAAGGACATTCCTTGATAACAACACCTCTATCTGACTTTGCCAGGAGGCTCAGCAGCCTGGTTTCGTGGCCCTATGATGTCACCACCTTCACCTATGTCTTTGTTTTGTCTGAATGTTGCCATTTGCCCTAATGTGTCCTTTTCTTTATTCCTTTTTATTTCCTTTTTTTATCTTATTTTTTTAGAAACTGTGGAGTACTCACTTTAAGCCCAGGAAAGGAGTTCGAACAAACTTTTTAGCTTATATTTTAGGAACTGTAGAGTACTCACTATTTAGATGCAGATGCTCGTACTGCAACCCAGAAAAAGAATTTGAACAAACTTAGAATCCAGAAAAAAATTCTTCCAGAACCGGAACATTTAGTTATTACTTAGAAACTGTGGAGTACTCATTGAACTGTTTTGGACTGGTTTAAATCCTTCCTCTCCAATAGGCTGGAATGTGTTAGCCTTGGCAATGCCAAGTCCAAGGATGTAGTGTCTCCTGTAGTGTCCCACAAGGGTCAGTTCTGCTTCGTCCATCTGAGTGTTCAGGAGTTTCTGGCTGCTCTTCATGTTCATCTGACCTTCATCAACTCTGGAGTCAACCTGATGGAAGAAACACAAACATCTAAAATGTTTTCATTATTTAATAAACCTAAACTAAAGTCTCTCCATCAGAGAGCTGTTGACCAGGCCTTACAGAGTCCAAATGGACACCTGGACTTGTTCCTCCGTTTCCTCCTGGGACTTTCACTGCAGACCAATCAGAGACTCCTACAAGGTCTCCTGACACAGATAGGAAGTAGCTCAGAGACCAATCAGGAAACAGTTCAGTACATCAAGGTGAAGATCAGTGAGAATGTGTCTGCAGAGAAAAGCATCAATCTGTTCCACTGTCTGAATGAACTGAATGATCGTTCTCTAGTGAAGGAGATCCAACATTCTCTGAGGTCCGGAAGTCTCTCCACAGATAAACTGTCTCCTGCTCAGTGGTCAGCTCTGGGTTTCATCTTAGTGTCATCAGGAAGAGATCTGGATCTGTTTGACCTGAAGAAATACTCTGCTTCAGAGGAGGCTCTTCTGAGGCTGCTGCCAGTGGTTAAAGCCTCCAACAAAGCTCTGTAAGGACACACATTGTTACTCCAGGTATTGTTGATAGGTAGAAATCTGCTAATTATGAGGTAAATATTCATGTTTCAGTTCATATTTTGGTGCTTTGTCTCTTCAAAGTGTCCCACTGGGGGGATGCACAAAAAGAAACAGACTTCCTTCAGCAGCTGAACATAATGTTACATATTCAAGCAGCAAAACTCCTCCACTTTATGTTAACATTGAATTGGATTAATATAGTTAATTGTGTAATTTTATAATTCTCTTTCCAACCTCCTTGTTACCTGTAGTTCTGTCATTTAAGGCTGGAGGCCCAACTATAGAATGAACCAGTTCACAACAAATACAAAGGTTGTGTAAAATCAGATGGTTCCTTCTCTGTCCAATAAAAAAATTGTTGATTTAAAGAACATAAATTCTGATGAATAGTTTAATACCAGATTTTCCTCCCCGTCTCCTCAGACTGAGTGGCTGTAACCTCTCAGAGAGAAGCTGTGAAGCTCTGTCCTCAGTTCTCAGCTCCCAGTCCTCCAGTCTCAGAGAACTGGACCTGAGTAACAACAACCTGCAGGATTCAGGAGTGAAGCTGCTGTCGGCTGGACTGAAGGATCCAGACTGGAGACTGGAAGCTCTCAGGTATGGAGGAACCTGCTGCAGGAGCAGAGAAGGTCTGATAGAGGAGGAAGAGGAGAAACGTCTTTAGTCTGATGGGAAACATTTAGTTTGAAGAGAAATATTTAGTTTGCTAGTTATATGTTTAGATTGGAGCCATGAGATTTATAAATGAAGGAATAACATGGTAAAAATATGACTTGATATTCTGATTCCTGATTTTCTCTCATAACAGGCTAAACAACTCAAGTTATTTCTGTTATTTTTGACTTTGTAACTTTGCAAACAACATCCCATTTAAAATGTTGGAATCTTTCACATGGTGCTGAATGAACCAGGGAAACCAACCCATCTACTGGAACCACAGTAACATGGTAGTCAGAGCAGCAGGGGGCCAAATATAGCTCCATGTGGAACCAAGAGGTTGGAGAGAGAAAATCAGTTTAAACTGTTTCCTATCAGAGTTCAGTTTGTCTCTCTGTCTTCACATCATGGGCTGGGCGGGGCTTCCACTGATTGGTCTACTGAGAAAATACCAGGAGCTGATTGGCTGATAGACAGGAAGTTAAAAATATGCAGATAAATGACATCATGAAGCTGATAATGTTATCATTGAAGATATATGGCTGAGAGCAAATGTAGATTTTATAATAAGTGGAAATGGTTCAGTGAGGAGGATGAGCAACATCTAGAAAAGTTGATCTACATCCAGAGAAACAAGTAGAGGATCTGATCTAGAACACCACTAATATCAGTCAGAAGCTTCTTCAAATTCATTGTAATGGAGGCTACAAGAGATCTTTCCTGCCAACAGCATCATCATCTAACATTTAATTTCCCTTTGGGATAAATAAAGCATATTTGAATTTTAATACAGCAATAGAAAGAATAATAAATTAGTTGAAAACTACTAGACATAACTCTTCCAAACATTAGATTAGAATCAGTGTGAGCCTCCACAGCAGCCAGAATCCATCAGCCAACTGTTGCCTGGTCTCTGATTCTCCCACTTTGTATTTATTTCACCAAGACTCCCAGAACCACTTTATGACCAGATTTGGGTTTAATAAAACCTCTTT